AGCGGTAGAGATGTCAAGTCCGATTCATCCAATTACAGTCCAATCATATCTCTCGTATCCCCCAGTGGCCATCCCTATAGTAACTGCTTCATAAAAACAATCATTTTAGCTTAAGCAGTTGAATTTTGAAAACTCCGATCTCTGAAGGTGTTAGGTGACCGCTTTGCCCTCTATCTGGGCCAATTGCAATAGTCACCTTTGACGTTTTATTCTCGGTTTGATTACTTCCTATTGTTTGCAGGTCAATCGGGCGCTGGCAACAATTGGGCCAAAGGCCATTATACTGAAGGCGCCGAGCTGGTCGATAACGTCCTAGACGTCGTGAGAAAAGAGGCTGAAAGCTGTGATTGTCTCCAGGTGATTCTAAGCTTATAGGGTACCTGGTTAGCCGAAATAAGAAATGGCTGGTGGGTGAGTAAGGGGATCCGAACCTGCAAAAATTCACCGTTCAACCCGGTCATTCTCGATGTAGTTACCAGCGACGTTGGAAGTTGGAAGGCTTCCAATTTTAAAAACACCACTGAACAGAAATCACCTGGTTGTTGCAAAAATCACCTGTCGTCAGCTGCTGAACTGCATCGCATTCAATTGAAGAAAAAAAAAGTGAAATTTCCTTGGTCTCCTTAAATGGTAACCGCTGAGCAGAGCTATCAGTTGGAGGAGGGGGAGGGGGGTGGGGGCGCATGCCTTTAAGGCCTCTAGGGCTGGGTTTCCGGGCCTTCACATTGACACTGAAGCTGGGAAGGGAGCTTCGCTGTAAAGAAGGTAGTAAGCTGTAAAGAGCGGACCTGGACTGGCCGGTTCGTAGACCGGAACAAGGATGTGTCATCGTGATGGGGATTTGTTCACGAGGAGGCTCCTCTCCAGTATCCTCTGAACGATGGGTTAAAGACCAGTCCCGCCGTAAGTGTCACGGGTAGTTGCTGTTCAATTATGAAACAGTAATGATACTGACAGTTTGTTAATTACCTCCACAGCATCATCTATACTGCCACTCACTATTATTTAACATGTCATTCTAGGGCTTTCAAATGACACACTCGCTTGGCGGTGGCACTGGATCAGGTATGGGAACGCTACTGATATCAAAAATTCGTGAAGAATACCCAGATCGAATTATGAACACATTTTCGGTCGTACCTAGTCCCAAAGTATCCGATACGGTAAGTGGATTACCTACTTAATAGTTAGCATGAAGTTGTTAGGCGTTTCTTGTTTACTGAACCACACATTGGGGTTATTTCGTCTTGCAGTACTGCCAGTTCTCGGCGGTGGCTGCGAGGGTCCAGAGACACAGGTGGGCGCGAAAATACGCAACCGTCGCCTGGATGCTCCTTGCAGGAGTCAGATATGGATTGCGAGCAGAATTAGCTTGTTCAGTAAAAAATGTCCTGATCGTGACCTCTTTGGGGGCGTATTCAGCCGCCTTCCTACACGTGCGACAAAAGCTTTCCCCTTTTCCGAAATCAATGATGCTTCGGGTGTGTCTGGGCGTTTTGGCCTCAATGAATCACTATGCTTTCCAATCAGGACATGTCCTGCCGCTGACAATAGGAAAATTTTTTGGGGAATACGACCTCTCCCTGGTTCCCTCCTCTGGTAGGACCTCTCCTCATTCCCAATCCTACCCACCACTTTCCTAGATTTTCCCAATTCTCCACCCCGTTTCCCAGTTTTTCCGAAGTTGAATTTTCCGAAAATTTTGCGATGGTGGGTGTATAGCACATGTGAAACGGGAATAACCGCGAGAAAACAAGTAGTAGATGGGAAGATTTTTTTCCAGCGCCGCCAATTTCTCTCAAAGGGAACTACGAGCCGTCCCCTATAGCACTCGTGGAATTAGAAAAAAAAACAACTATTAGAAAAAAATCTGCTAGGACTAATTACGGCTCCCTTACCCGCAGCAACCAAATGCATCCCCCGCTGGGTGGTCCCTAAATTACGAGGTAATCTGTTCCTACTACCTGACATTCACAATTCCGTTTTCAACCCAGCTTTGCCCCAGGTTTACTGAATAACGAGTACTTCTCACGCCATTGCTCAAGCATCAATCACTGATAATGGTTTAGGTAGTCGAACCCTACAACGCTACTTTGTCTGTTCATCAACTGGTTGAAAACACCGACGAGACCTTCTGTATTGACAATGAGGTATACCAAAGACGTATGAAGCTTGAGCCGTATGTCAGCGCTTTGATGTCGCGATTGCGCCACGTCGCCTGTCTGCGTGAGATGGTGTAGACGTGCAAACATGACGTAGCTTAGCCTATCTAGAGAGTTTCTTATGGCATGAAAAGTGAATGAAACGTTCATGTTTTTCTTTTTCGCTCCTCTAAAGTTAACTTTTTCTGAGCGCGACGCAACAGCGCACTTTTGAACTCTAGATGGTCTGACTGCGTCTAACTCAGTTTTACTGGGCTGTAAATTAATAATAATCGGTGGGCGCTGACGAAATGCTGACCGGAATGAAATGCTCATAGGTACTTACATAAATCGAGCACTGGTCACACTTGTGCTAGCTGCTCGTTTGGATATGATGAGAAGGTGGTGGCCGCTATCGTACTGGAATCTCGCTGACATACTGTTCCAACATACTTGTTTTGAATCTTTGGCATGGAGTAATTTGTTCGATTAGGCACTCTACGATATCTGCTTCCGTACGCTGAAGCTGACAACGCCCACCTATGGAGACCTTAACCATTTGGTTTCAATGACCATGAGCGGAGTCACAACGTGTTTACGATTTCCTGGACAGGTATGGTACCATTTTCTTCCGGCGTCTGCTGTGGATGTTGAGAGCGTTGCGCGTGTATGGAGCTTCTGTGATTGGCGTGTGACAGCGTCGACCATTCACAGGCGAGCCATGCAATAGAGCGATGATTAGGCCCGCAGCAGGCGCAGAAGCTCAGTTTCACTTTGTAACTGCATCTTGATGAAAGCTCAATTCTATGCACTGATTTATGCAAACAGCTATCAAAATTACGAGTCACAATAGATTCCACTTGACAACACACTATTTTAAGCTGCTATAGTCTTGTCCACGCCAGATGCTGGGGTGTGCCAAGGGGAGGGTGGGGGGAAGGTGGGTTTCGCACGGCGCCAGCCTGCTATCCTCCACTTGATGAAGAGCGGCAAGCAACAACAAGTGGTGGAGGAGCGTGCTGGCGCGGTGCCGATACCTCCTGCTACGACGGAACATCCAGTGAGCAAGGCTACATCTCAGTGTCAGTAGTGGAAGTAAATGCATACAACTAGTACGGAATAGTGTTGACCTCCAAGACCAGGAGAGTGGTTTCATTACATTTTTGGCCCAAGTGTTATGGATGTTGCCCATGATGTCTTTCTAAAATGCATTCAGGACCGGTTATATTGTAGTTGTTCCCGAGGGTTGTTAAGAATGTGACAATTCGTGATATTGTTAGGACTTTTTGAACAACGCTAGTTTTGAGTTAATTTGCTTAGAGAACGTCGAACGTGTTCCTATCCTGCTATTGACTCAGGAGACTTCAGTGAGAAAGCTGAAAAAATTTTTTGCCCTTTTCATTGTCCAGGATGAACAAAACTAACTCTCATTGATTCGCGAAGTATTCCACACACATCATGGAGGTGCGGGAAATGGGTCCTCAGCATGACCCTCCCCCCATCCAACATCTGTCAAAACTGACTGGGACATATACGTATATCGGCATATACAGTCATTTCAGTAGACCGTCAATTGTTAGCTCGATTCTGTTTGCCCCAGCTCTGAGATTTTTCTGGATTCCGCGATTACTTTGTGGGTGGAATCCTTTCTGTCTGCACCTTAACCAGGTACGCAGTGGCGCACAATGTACCGCTTCATCCACTTGACGGTGCGTGGTGAAAACGGCCTGGAGGGGGCTTGAAACTGGTGTATATGGAGAAGTTGCCGCGCATCGCCGCATGGTACGCCGCGCGCGATGACGCGGCAAATTACCATTGCCTTTTCCGGCTCCTGTCCCCGAATCATCAGGTACTCGTTCAATAACGGAAACTAGCCGAGCCTTTCTGGGCGTTTTCTATTCTATTCTATTTATTGCATGTACGCTAGATACATGAGGTAGAAATGTAAGTAAACACCAACCATAAAAAGGAATGCACAACACCATAAAACCATAAAGGAGAACACAGCAACTGTAAGTAAAACTAACGATGTAACAAAAAAAGATGAAAAACAACAGAAAGAAAGAGAACATGAAAAATTCTTTGACGGGTTTTGACGGGTTCTTCTGATTCCCGCTTTAGTGACAACTCGATTAATGCCTACAATTTTGGAATAGAGACAGGAATGCAGCTGGATGTTACAGTCTTGTTCGCTGCGGATGATGGGGCGTGTCGGGGGATTGGCGTTACGCCAACCCTTTCTTTTCTTTTTCAGTAACAGGGCTGTATCATGTCGTTCGTACTAGTCGTTTTTCACCAAATTATCGCTTACCCGCTTAACCAAGTAAAGGGAACAGGCTGGCGGCGAGCCAAACAAGTCGCACCGGCACGCCTCCTCATCCACAGCAAACAAAATTCTACTCAAGTTTGCAAGATATAAATGGCTCAAGATGACGATTACTTTGATGATATCACAAATAATGTCAGAAATAGCTAACGGACACAGTTTGCAATTTAGCTGAACGCCGATTTGCGTAAACTAGCTGTGAATATGGTTCCGTTCCCACGTTTGCATTTCTTCATGCCTGGCTTTGCTCCTCTCACTTCACGAGGTTCGCAGCAATATCGGTGTGAGTGTCAGCAGTTTTTAGCATTTTCGAGAGTTCAAGTGAAGCCCTCTTCAAAAGTCGTCCATTCTTCTCCTATGTCTGAAAATTGTTACTTTGTCACGTGAAGAATGTAAAGTACAAGAATGATGATGACTCGTCATGGCAATGAAAACAAGAAATTCGATCAAACATTCCTGTTCATCTGTAACGTTTGATCGAATCAGCATTGAAGAATATGAAAGGAATTCATGTTTTTTCCTGTCAACTCTTTGGTAACGGCAGCAAAGATCAGATTAGCTGTCTGGATTTGTGGAATGCAGTGTGGATGATGAGTCAGGCTATTTTCAGATCTCTTACAGTACCGGAGCTCACACAACAAATGTTTGACGCCAAAAATATGATGGCTGCATGTGATCCACGACATGGGCGATATCTTACGGTAGCGGCAATGTTCAGAGGTCGAATGAGCATGAAGGTACAGTAGTTCTGAAATTCGAGTGCAAAAAAAGAGGGATTAGATCGTTGAACTGGAGAAGACGGATGCCGCGCCTTGCCTCAAGAGATCTTATTCCCATCAGCTCAATGGAATGCATTGTTCAATAACCCCTCCTGCCCGTTCAACCCCGTCTATTTCTCGGCACTCTACCTCACTGTGTCCCTGAAAGTTCTCTCAGAGCGGGATGAGCGTAAGTAGGGCACGAGAAAAAGTGAAAATCCATCAAAGCTCTCACATGTGCGCCAATGATACCTCCTTATACTGAATGTATACATCTGAAGACGAAGTGTACACTCACTTCCGGGATCTTATTCCTTGCCGTGCCGGTGAATGGATCAGCACCTGCGGTAGCGTGCCATTTGCTCTGCTGAGATGTGCACGGGAATAAGGCCGAGGGTAGCTATCTAGTTCTACCGGTTGCCGTCTCCACCCGTGCTGTCGCACGGCTAGTTCACGCCTATCCGTAGCCAAACGCGCTAATTGTCCGTGCTCTCACTCTCCTTTCTCTTTTCTGCTAAGTACTGTCTGCTAAGTACGTATTCGCGGATAGCGCAGCACTTGGGAGACAGACGGCGGAGTATGGAGACGGCAGTCGGGTACCGCCACCCTACAGCCCCGTTAACGCGTACTCCTGAGTGGAGAAAAAGGCTTGCCAGTGCAGCTGCGGACAACTTGACCTCGAATATGGGGGGTCCTATTTGACCCGCAGCAGGAGGGGGGAATCGTAATTGTCAGAGAAAAAAAATTTTTTGTACTAGTTGATTTTCTCTTGTTTCACGCGACGCTGTGTAAAGGGGGGAGGTTGCGTACTGGGTCAGGTTCACGGAACGCCAGCTACTATTTTCGAACGACTTGAAATGACAGTTTAGATTTCTGACGACTTCCCCCCCCCCCCCCCCCCCGCTCGACGGCTCGGTTCGATGAGGAAGGACGAGGGCTGGGAGGGAGGTCTACCAAGTCCCAAAAAAGGGGGTCGTATTTTAGTATGGAATTAGGTGGGGGTCGTAAATTTCAGAAAATGATCACAACGTGATGGCTTGCCCTGTTGCCAGTGCAGCTGCGGGCAGCTTGACCTCGAATATGGGGGTCCTGCCTTGGGGTGGGAGTACAGTTCGCCTTTAAAAGCGGGCTTAGTGTCCGGGCTTTGATAAGTGTTTCGGTAGAACGTCTCATGACCGACATTGCCGTGAAAAATTAGAAAAGCGAAAAAAATCGAATAATTACAGTTGCCGCGATATTTCAAAAAGACAGTTCTGTTGGGTTGCTAACACTATTAAAGTAGTGTTTAGTGAAACTGTTTCTTCTACTTGGAGTTTCGAAGAACTCGTCCTTTTTGATGTCAAAACGTGCACCGCACCAAATAAAATGGTTCCATCTCACAAAAATGAACGACAGAAAAGTAGATTCTTCTTGTGACCATTTTTTGAACTTGTTTTCGTCCGTGTGACCCCTTGACGCAACAGGATGGTGCAAAAACTTTGTTTTCTGTACAATTGATGGAATTGGGCACAGGCTAAGCAAGAGCTAGTTCCATTATTAGAATTCCAGCTCGCCGGTAAAGGGGAAGTTATTTTGAATTGAATTTCAGGAGGTTGACGAGCAGATGCTTAATGTCCAGAATAAGAACTCGTCATATTTCGTCGAATGGATTCCGAACAACGTCAAAACTGCTGTATGTGATATTCCACCGCGAGGAGTGAAGGTACGTCCAAGACTCTGTCTTGAACTGTTGGTCTATCCTGGTCTGGTCTCCTAATGAGGTGGAAAAATCCCTAGTGAAGGTCGCATTTGGGGCAAAAAGCGGTGGTCAATTAAAGACACATGGTACGCTCAAACACATTGAGGGTGTATGAGACTATCAGCCCCCCAGCTGTCGATGTGTCGTGGTCCCCCCGCCCAAAACTGCACGGGGTCAGAGTACGGGGCCGTGGGAAAGTCGTAATTCCTTGCTACGCCGCCCTCACGTTTATGCTAACACGTCCGCGCGGCGCGGTCGCGTGCAGCTCTCTTGGCTTTTTGCCAAGTCCTGTAATTGCGCTTTGGAATACAAGTACAACGCAATTTCTTTATGCGGATAACATTTTAGGTGCTGCAAAATAAGAACCGAAGATGATGACGAGGGCTAGAACTCAAGAGCAACTGTGGTGCTTCTGCAATATCCCTCAGAGGCCGCGCATTCCCACAGAACATGACAATAAAAACGGCCTAAGCGTCCCACTCGTTAGTTTGAAGTATTTCTATAGCTTTAGAGCCGGATCGCAGAAATGCACACGCGATTTTAATTTATTTGCGTTTCCTTAGTTTTTTCAATTTTGTTTTATTTACATCTACATTCGTTGTTCTTCATTTCTAGCCTTTGTCATCTTCATCACCTTCTATTCGGACTTTGAAGCATGAGCAATACCTCAAATGTTAGGAAATTGCGTTTTGCTTGTATTGTCATGTTTTATTGTCATGTTGTCCGTTTTTATTGTCATGTTCTGTGGGAATGCGCGGCCTCTGAGGGATGTTGCAGAAGTGGCACAGTTGCTTTTGAGTTCTGACCCTCGTCATCATCTTCGTTCTTATTTTGCAGCACCTAAAATGTTATCCGCATAAAGAAATTGCGTTGTACTTGTATTCCAAAGCGCAATTACAGGACTTGGCAAAAAGCCAAGAGAGCTGCACGCGACCGCGCCGCGCGGACGGTGTTAGTAAAAACGTGAGGGCGGGCGGTGTAGCAAGGAATTACGACTTTCCCACGGCCCCGTACTCTGACCCCGTGCAGTTTTGGGCGGGGGGACCACGACACATCGACAGCTGGGGGGCTGATAGTCTCATACACCCTCAATGTGTTTGAGCGTACCATGTGTCTTTAAGCGCAGGATATGTTGGTCTTCTCTTGGTCGAGTCATTCGGCGACCGCGCCTTTCCAGTTGGTTTCTCCTAGAGCGACAGAACGAGGATTGCACCAGCGAGAAGGGCGCGATGGTACGTGTGACTCCGCCCATGTGGTCAGTGTGGAGCGTTTCATTGTGTTCGTGTCAGCTAATGTCTAGACAGCATGCATGCTGATCTGATCGCGATCAGAACTGAGTCAGACCCACAGATGTTATTTGGTATGTTAGGCAGAGGAGCTAAATTGCTCTTCCAAAATGTGTCACTAGCCTAATCAGCTCAGTCAGCTTATACGGCTAAAAGCTTCCTGGAAGACTTTTTCTCCCTAGAACGTGCTCTGACTTTCAACCGGACCAAAAGGCGTGTCTCCCTAGAAGGGATCGTGAAAACCCTTTTTCATTGCTTTGAAAAACCAGGTACTCATGGCCCATTGTTGGAACTGTGACAGGGTCGACGTTGAAGCACTTCCACGTTGACCATAAGGGCAGAACCACTTGGACAACTGCGTTTCCTCATTGGTGCGCCACCACTCCTGTTTGCCACCTGAGAAGGAGGAATTCATTAATAAGAAGAAACTAGCAATCAAAGTGACACCGCCCATGCGATCAACGTAGAACCTCTCTTTACTTTCAGATGGCTGCTACATTCGTCGGTAACTCGACCGCCATCCAGGAGCTATTCAAGAGAATATCCGAGCAATTTACAGGTTAGTTCTGGTTTCTGCACTTATTGATTGAACAGTATTTTATCTTCGTCTTTTAGCCATGTTCCGTCGTAAAAGCCTTCTTCATTGGTATACTGGTGAGGGTATGGATGAAATGGAATTCACTGAAGCTGAATCGAACATGAACGATCTGGTCTCTGAATATCAACAATATCAGGTCAGCACTTTTAGTCTGTTGGAGTGGTGGAGAAGGGGCATGGACTGTAGGGTCACGAAGCATCGCACACTGCAAATATCGTATGCTTGCGGTGGAGCGCAGGCTCGCGGTGGTCTACCATATCATTGCTCTAGTGAATTGGATAGTTATCACCCTGTTTTCAGTCTGCCTATCCACCCTAGCAGGACCTAAACTGTCGTGACCGCTAGAATTCGTTTCATTTGTAATGTTAGAGAGTTCACGGAGTAGTTGTATCACAAGAAAACCCGCAGAGATTTGGGTCACTGGTTATCTGAGCTTATTGGCCTAATCATTCAACAGTTACAATGCTTTCTGGGCAGTCCACTGTCAAAGGTCGTACCCATTGTTGAACGCTTTAAAGGCATAAGACACGGTAATTTGCTACTTGGTCTAGAATTGTAGCAGGGATGCTACGCAATGCGAAAATAGCGAAAAAGCGAAATGAAACGGTTGAAAGCGTGCGAAAAACCCCTGCTCTACACGATTCAGAGAGCGGTTTCGGGGGAGTTTTCCGTTGGCACCGTGCCAGTGACCGCTATCGTAGATACGGCTGCATATATGTGCTCATTTACCAGCCGTTTCATACCAATCCCTTCGCCTCATATTGTACCTCACACATGGAGCGATACGAGCAGA